GTCCAGAGCAGCCCAATAGACCTTTGATGTTCACTGCTTTCGGGAAGCAAGTCCACGGAGAGAACCTGGTACACTTAGGGGGATGGGAGGACGCGGAGCGAGTGGCCTAAATGTCGAACATAGAATTAGGAAAAGCCGGTGCAAAGTTTGGAAATGATCTTGAGAAGGTTGCCCGCTGAGCCGCGCTAGAGTTTGGACGACGTTGCTGATATCCCAAATTGCGGTTTCCTGCGAAGGTCGAACTGGACCCTGACTCTCGAGTAGCCGGTTCAACCTTGGGTAGCTGTAGTGCTAGAAACTCTGAGTCATCCTAAATTAAACATGATCTGGGATGGGGGGAAGAGTCATTTCTACCGTACCGGTGGATAGAACTACGCAAGCGAAACGTAGAAAAACATTGATTGCATTCGTTCGCGGTAGATTGATATCCAGTTTGAGGCGACGTCCTTCGCATATTCATTTATTGTAGAGAGTAATCCAGAATGAAGGAGTCATTGTCTGGCCTGGGGACACCCTTGTAAGTCGGAGAGGAAGCATCGGTCTTCCTATGTTACGACGTCAGATATACAGTCGACTCTGTCTTAACCCATAACGGGTCGTGGAACCCAAAAGTTATTGTTACCAACACGTGTGACACTGTGTGACTACCTAGTAAGCGTGACAGACAGCCTATCCGGTATAGGCCGGACGTCGCTTATGACAACGTTTAGATACGGAATCTTGAGTCTGGTATGGGTTAAGAACCAAAAATTAAGGGTCCAGATGGTCCAGGTTCTCGTGGGAAGCAGACCTGTACCTTCCCAATATAGGTTGTTTTATGGGTTATGACCCTCCAAAAAGCTATGGGTTATGGGATACGGCAGACTTATGGGTTTTCACTATCTACCATGTTGGTGGAAGCCTATGGGTTATTACAGGTTATGGGTTATGACAGGTATGGGTTAAGACAGAGTCGACTGTGTTTTGTTCTGTTCTCAGATCAGCCACCAATCCAACACAAGAGCAAATAGCTCGGTACTTACCGCCCGAATGACGGCTTCCATGGCCACCTGTTGACTTAAGGACAAAACGCAACCTCCGTAAAACATAACCACCATGGCTCGCCGCTCTGCACCTCCTGGATCTGGCCCGGCATACATGGCACCTCACGGTGCAGTACGGATAGGCGGACGACCCCATCATGACCCCGACGAATCTGCTTTTTCGCGCTTCATGCGCGAGCAAATTTTCGCACCAGAAAAGTTGCCGGGAAACATCAATATTGCGACGGCCGTGAGCCTCTTCGGGTTTGGCATATTCGCTGTCCGTACGTGGGGCGATCTACTTCTCCCTGCATGAGGAGGGGGGAGGGACGAGGTCCGCCCAGGGAGGGAGAGAAAGGTGGGGAGAGGGAAGGTGGGATGAGTGGTTCGTGTTTTTGACATAAGGAGGCTTCCGTAACGCCAGGGAAGGTATGTGAGCAAGCAAGAACTTGATATGAACGATGTCTCATGTAGAGGCGATACAGCTGAGCCTCATAGAACGTCACCACCACACTGTGAACATATTCACGACTGACATCGACATACGCGGACTCCCGCTCTATCACAATTCAGATCCCCGTATTATTTCATTTGTACTTTATACATCAAAGACCCTAATGCCCATCACTACGCCGCAAGTGCGCCCTCAAAACCCCTCTCGTTCAGATGCCCGTGTAAATCCATCGTCCCGACCTTCCATTGACGTCCATAATGGTCGCCTTCTCCTGACGGGCCAGGTCACGGTGCTCCTCTCCAGCGCGTAGCGTATATGTGGCGTTGTACAGACGAAGAGCCGCTTCCTCGACTCCAATCAAACCGACGCGAGCACCAAGAGTGTCCTGACCCTCTCGGCTGCGCGCCCCAGCGTTGAGTGTCCTTCGCTGATCTTTGCCGGCTGGTGTACCTTTAAAGATGACAAGAGCTGGTTCGAGGATTGCACGCACCTTACCGACTAATGGAAGACCAGCTCCTTGGCTAACTCGACGCCTAAGTCTTGTATCGTGGCAGCGAAGGTTGGTCTTAGGAATATCGCATCTGCCCAGGCCTCTGAGCTCTTGAATATCGGGTTGCAGTGGTTAGTAAGGTGCGACCATTCAGACGATGGTATTGCATACTTTGATGGGTATGACTTCTGCCTCGCCGTCTGTTAGTTTCGCGAATCGAATTTCCTCCAGACTTTCGTCTGAGGGCGTGGAAATGGGTACTGTTGAGACGCGTTATGAGTCACTATCGTCTATGTGTCGAGTTTGTTCTTACGTTCCCCCGGGTCGTCCGGCCCTGCTAAAGAGTGTTCTGGATGTGAAAAGCAGGCGTACCGGTATTGCTCTAGAAGGGGCAAACATTCAGGTACGGGATGCCAACTGAGCTCCTCCTGAGTACGACATCAGGTGCAGAACTTGGTCGAGGACGACAGGTACTCACTGGGTCCAGCAGATATGTGGGGCTGTACTCGCCTTTGTACTTCATTTTGGGGTTCGAATGGATGTAGAAGCCTTCCGACCGAAACAGCGTCCTGTTGTAAGCGGCACTGGGGAATAGGTTGATTGATCTAAACAAACCTAGGTGCAGGTGTTCCATATTCGGGAGGCCCGCCTGGTGCATCTCCTGGACCAGGGCAGCCTCGTACATTATGCTGAGCTGTACCCGCAGAGTCGTCAAGCCGCTATCGAAGGCCGCAGCCCGCAGAACAGCACACTCACCTTCCCGAGCGAGTACTTGACCCACCGGCGGTCATACACGAAGTACACACTCGACACGGAGCCGGGCAGGATATCGAGCACGCTCATCCCGATCAGCCTGCCGTCGAGGCGGTACAGCTGGTGGTATGACCCGTACTGCCGCGGGAGGTGCGCAGGCGCGGGCGCGGGGTATGGGATCGCCGCGGTCTGGCTCGAGGCCGGGGGTGTGGGTTCGCTGTGATCCTGTGCAGAGAGGGGATTACCTACGAGCAGGGGGGACTCGACCAGGAAGCGGTAGAAGAGGTAGGGCAGGTTGAGGGTGTCGCCGTGCACTTGGGCCTGGTAGGCTTCGTAGAGCTGGTATTTCTCGGCGGTGTAGCTTGGGGATTCGAGGAAGACCTGTGGGCAAACAATGGGTTAGGCAGATGCGTGTGGCGGTAGGGGGGAGGATCGAGCGTTACCTCGAACTTGTGCGCCTTTCGCGGCCGGTTTGGTCGGTGCTCGAGGGCATGTAGCGTTGGTGCGAGGCACCCAGGCACAGTGGCTGCTTCCTGGCTTCTACATCGTATTTGTGAGGACGCACGAGCTTGTGGCGAGCGGGTGTACTAACTCATCTTCAGAGAGCATCCTGTCGGACTCCGGGACGTTTCCGTACATGATAAATCGACTCCATCTAGAAGCAGTTAGTTACACGACTACCAAAAGGTATATGAGGGTGTACGTACCGGTAGATCACCTTCCTCTGGCTTCTTGAGGGTTTGAAATTCAGTGCATCCAGCCTGATGAAATAAAATGAGCGAAGTCGATACTCCATCTGCGCCGTTGTGGAGCTTGCCTTATTGGGTACTGTGGACAGCAGGACCGCCTAAGATCTGGCTTGTAGCAGTACATGCCTGATCTCCTCCACCCTCTGAGTAGCATCCTCTCGTATACCTAGCACACAATATTCAGGCGATATCGCGAGTATGGCGTTTAGCTACGTACCTGACATGACAATTGGATGGCTGTCAAGCCCGTCGTGAAGCTGGTATGGCTCTCGTCCCAGGCGCTTTCGTCCGAGTGACTTGAGCGATCACAATAACTACAGGCTGCCACATCTCGCCCCTGTGCATGGACGACGTTCGGTGAGGCGGCTTTCAAAGCATTCAAATTTGTTAGAGGCATGGGATGGCCCTGAGGTTCTGGACCTCGATAAGAGGGACTTTAGGTCGAGAGGTCAAAGGATCAGACCAACAAGATTAAGCTCGACGGGTGTGGTAGCGAGTGCAATAATAATAGACTTGGAGTGCTCTGTGGAGAGTACCGGTCGAAGCAGCAAGCGCTGTCCAGGCTACCCGACACGCGCTGGGGCAAGGCGAAGGACAACAGGACTCACGGAGTCGGTAACAGCTGTAAATACTGAGAACGCCGACTGGACACGGATCTCCGGGATTCGCATCGAGATTCCTCGATTACTCTGGCAACTTATGGGTCGGCTAACATACTTGGAAGTGCGAACGTCACCGTTGCCCCGCGCCAGCCAATCGCCGGCGAGAAATCGGCCCGTGACGGACGAATCAGGATATGTTGCCAGACTGCCACTCTTCAGAAATCCCGACCGCGCTCACGTTTCTGATGGCGTCCGACGCTCTGACCAACCTGATTGACCTGTCTGACAGTGTAATCGCGCGAAGCGTGCACAGCTTGGGTGGGGCAAGTGGAGCGCAGAAGTTACTTGCTCCACCCGTGCTCGGCCCCACCGGTAGCCACAACGCCTATGCAATGCCAGGCAACAAAATTGGAGCCCCGCACGTACTGTATACGAAACGGTACCTCTGACTCCATTTTGCGTAATATCCGCTGTAGCTGTGGCACCCGCCCGCCGGGCAAGAGAATTCATCACTGCTGCCAGGACGCTGACATCAGTACTACAAATAGGGGAGCGAGATACGGGTCACGTTCTTGGATAATACGACGTAAGGTTGGAACCTCAGCACAGGTTGGAGTAAGGAAGAGTGCTTGTAGTTGAACTTAAGCCACCCCTTTGACCGCCACTCACGAATTTCATTAAGAGTCGCCTCTAATGTTCTCGCTCTGTGCCTCGTCCATTCAAACGTAAGAACTGAATTTCGAGGCAGGCCCCAGCAGCATCCTCGTAGGGTCACATACTTTGTATCCGTCCGAAAAGTCTTTACAGCGCCAAAGGAAAATAAATTTCACTAGCCCAATGGCTGCCCGCCGCGTATTATCATCGGTATGCGAATTTGTATTAGAGCCTCGTGCACGCCTCCAATAGACCACAGGGTCTTCTTTCCGATAACCTTGCTCGCTTTACCTGACAGGCATGGGCATGGGCATGGGACCTGTCTGATCCAAAGTTTCCTTACTCCGTCCGACGACCTCCCAGCACCCCCGACGTCGTAGTGGACCTCGCAGAGTCGTGGTTGGCGCATTCGCGCCACGCCGGCGCCCTTAACTATTTCTGCTTATCCACCTGCCTGCCAGTCTACACTTGGAACGGGATGTATACAGTCAGTGGCTTTCTGAATGAAAACGAGGGGCCGCAAGCACCTCTGTGGGCGGATTAATGCGTTGGATTGGGATAAGCGGACGTATCTAGGTAGAGAAGAGAGAGCAGGCTCACGATCGTTGTCGGTGTGTAAGGAATCTGGAATAAAAAATCACACCTCTGTTCTCGCCCATCTCCTCCGTCATCGAGACCTTTCCACTTCTCAGACATGCCGGAGATGACTACTCAGTATAGTCCGAGCGAAATAGGTCACCAGTGGGGGGTACTGCTGTCGTGACAGTGCCGCTAGTATTTTGTAAAGGTAATTCGCCGTATACACGCTGTGGAGTGCCGAATCGAAGATGAGTGTCCCCGCTATTCAGGAGCCATAGGCGTCGCAGCGGATGCTGGTGTTATGGGACTCATCAACGTACGTCCATCGAAGTAGTAAACGCACCTATAAACTTACCAATATCTAGAGATGACATACGTCGTCCTCAAGGACATGTACACTGCTGCGGGTATATATCGGATAAGACATTTCCAGCCCAGTTAGGTCTCCTTGAAGCACGCGTCCGCGGGGCCGAGACCTCCCGATCTGCAACTTGAAAGCACAACATAAATCCCATGAAGCAATCGCTAGGATGAACACGGCCGAAAGATGGGGAGACCCGACTACCAACGCACAGGGGGCTTCAAGGACGGTGCGGGTAGTCCGCACGTCAGTATTTTCACGCTCACCTTGTACGGGATCCACATTTCAGTGGAGGTACCTCTTCCCCATGAGTGGTGAGTATCATCCAGAGGAGGTGATCTATTCCAGTGGGATGACTCACTGATTTAGACGTCAGGTAACGTCTAGTCTCGCGCTGCCTTGCACGCTGCCAACGGTCATTCCGACCCATCGCCAGGAATTCGCTGGCATATCCTTGCTGACGGGAGTTGCTTCATTCGGCACGGCTACGATGCCCTTACTACTGCTACGCTGTAGTTCCTAACCATTTGCTTCGTCTCTAGAACTCACGTGTCAATATCCAGGAAACGGCTCTCATGGGCCATCGGGTACTTGGACACCGCTTCGGGCAGAACGGTATGCGATCTACGATCACTGGCGGCAACGGCACCAGGACCTTAGGAGGATCAAGAGGCGAGATGAGCCGCTCGCAACCAAATCGTGATGACCTCTGGATCCCGGAAACTACACTTGCAACGGCGGTATATCCGAGTCCAATCGCCACCGTGGGAACTCAAGAGGAAGTACTACGTGCTGCCACCTGCGTACTGGAGCCACTTAATGCCATCGCATGACCATAACATATCTGTTTGAGGGAGATGAGCAATACGTTGAATCTGGAGTGACATCTTGTTCTCCGAATACTCAGGGTGCGCCGCTCTCCACTCGCACTTTTATAACAGAGCTAATGTGGAGTGATGAGCAGCAGATTCGTTAATTATCAAGAAGAAGCACCCGGTGCGCCCGGTTTACTGTGTCGTTATATCGCGACTATATACCAAATGCGCCAGAAACCGGACATATGACACATGGTACCCTGCGCGCTACATCAGTTATTCGCTCCAGATCTACGGTGTTTGAAGGAATACAGCTTGTCTACACTGATGGACCGTGAAGACAACCGAGGACGCCAGTAGGCAGAAGTTGATGTGGATTCCGATGTCTATTAACGGAGGCGGTGGAGAAAGAGGGGCAATCCCACGGATATCCTGGCAGTTCGGGGAGCAGGGATAATGGAGCGACGAGTGGAGAGCAGAGTGAGTGGATTCAATGAAGACGCAAGTAAGACAAGCCACAGGTCTAACGTGTCATTGGTATACATCGGGCGAGGGATCGATGGCTCACGGGCCAACTCCTGTGGGGGGAATTTGCTCGTTCTCAAAGAGTAACTTCAAAGCCATGCGGGTAGGATACTGCTGGTTCTTGCCCTTGATTTCGTCAACATTCACCGACCAAGGCACCCGGATTTTTTGTCTGTTCCGCGTATAAACTAGCTCGCCCTCCTGCGGCTGAGGAACTGTGACAGATGACAGAGTCGACTCGCATGTTTTGACGACTCGGAGGACCACGGTACGAGTGCCCTCGTGCGGAGGGAGGGCGGAGCGTTCGAATTGGACAAAGCATTTTCCTGACGAAAAATAGGTGAGCGTGTCTCTGGGATTTGTCATGAAAGGACTACCTTCATCCACATCCTGTATTTGCTCCTGCACATCTATATGTTGCAGTCTAAAACGACGGACCGCAGACCTGCCCACGATCCACAGCACGATCTTGGCATCTTTCCTGAGGCGCACCGGAAAAGGCTGACCAAATTTCCAGACGAGCTGACTGGAAGATCTTGGTCTCGCAACCCTGCGACCATTCGAACCGGAGGCCTGAGCGGCTAAGTCTAACATATCTTGAGTAATGAGTCTTTCGGATAATAACAGTGTTCGTAGAGTCGAGTAGCGCTCGTAGCGGGCAATGCGGAACATTGATATCCTCCAGACGTTGCCGTCTGGCTGACGGAGGTCATCCCCACTGGAGAAGTCTCGGACGTGTGGTGACTTGACGAGACGGAAACGAACGTCAGCAGCTAACGGAGGCGCATCTGCTTCTTTATACCAGTATAAGAACCCTCTCGTACCAGCGGGAAATGTAGGAGGATCCTCTGGCCTGCGTGTGACCAAGTACTCTATTGAATGTTTTTTGTCAAACGGTGGCAAGGGGTTCGCCCAAATCCTGGTGAGTATACTGTGTTTCCCACTTATGTCAATGTAGTCCGCGGAGGAAAGTCGCGACGGGTCCAGCGTCCTTAGATTGAGCCCTTTCCCGGCATAAGACGGGCATCCTGGAGTCGTAATGGCCGGGGCGTCACTGTGACGAGTCGTGTCGTTGCTTAGTGTACGTTTGAAGCAAGAGGACCATATCGTGCCTAACGCTATCGGCGAGGGCGGCGGTCTCGCAGTCACAGTAGAGGTGGTCCGAACCAAATGGCCTAGGTGCGGTGAGATGCCAGTCATCTTGAGTCTGCATCCAAGAGTCTTCGGAGACGTCGTGCTGAAGTATCGCTGAAGAAATTGAAGTCATGATTCAGAACCTCTATACTGAGGCATAGTGATCTAGATGGGGGCACACTTACTTTCGCGAAGGGCACAATCACTGGGATACGCCTCATTATGCTAGCAACGTACGCAGAGCCACATCAAAGCCCACCTACAGTACCAGTGCCAATGTATAATAAGCTTATGAATACGAACACAGTACGCCGGGCGTGGGAACCAAATGGTTCGACTTGATTTACTTAAAAATTGCTTAAAAAGCGTTTGTAAACGGTTTTGTTCTCCGAGCTGCATTCTCGTATGTAATATTTGCTGGGATAGTCGAATAAGGGGCGTAGTCGCACTGTCCCCCACTTCTCTCTGAGTACACTGTGTTAAGAATGAGGATGCTTGGGCTCGGGATAGAATCCTTCAGGGCTGTTAGTGCTTCCGACCAACCTTGACTGCGCAACCTTCACATCGTTCAGTGGGATTACGCACTCGATAATACCTATCTCTGTTCTCAGCTTGGTCGGGACACGTCTTTTTATCAAAAATAGGGTGTATTAGACACGAAGACATGTCACTCGTTGCACGATCGCGTGCCCGAGACGCCGGCTGGTAGCCTTCACGCAGTCGGATCTCCAGAGCGCACACCACGAAGGTACTTCGCTCGCGGCGCTTGCATGGCACAGAATAGGTAGCCTTGCAGAGGCGGTCATGTCCAACCGTATACCGCATCATCCCGGCGGCTCCTGCGGACCATCCACGTCGTCGAGCATAGCCTTGAGGACATCCGATATTTGTCTATGCAGATCCTCTAACGGCCGGATGTCAGCGGTGCGCCGAAGCAGAGGGCGACGCGAACGGAGGAAAAGGAGACGCACTCGCCCGGGCCACCGCGCGGAGGTACTCCGTGTTCGCCTGCGTCATTTCGTCTTCGAGGACTTGCAGGCGTTTCGCCTATTAGCCAGTATGTGATTTCAGAATTACCGAACACGGGTATAATGTACTCAGTCTAATTTAGCGAGGACGAACCTGCTCTTCCTCCGGCTCTGGTTCTGGCAATGATTGGATGAGGTATTCGATCTGTTTTGCCTTGACAATAAAATCCGTGACCAGTTCCTTCTTGTTCGCTATCGGACACCTTAGATTCCCATTCGCGGCCCGGATACCGAACGCACCTTCGAGCACCTCCGGCGGGTCATACTTGTCCGGGTTTCGCTGCTTCGTGACGGGGATGTCCTCGCTAACCTGCGCAAAGTTGACGCGCGTGGTAAGGTACGCGATACTGCTCGACATGATCGTCAATAGCTACGACACGTCCACATCGGTCAGACGAGAGAAAGAAAGACTGGAACACGCGGCGACGCACTTGCTGGATCTCATCTTGAAGCTGCGTGATGCGGTCCATATGCGAGAGTTCCTGCAGCATCGCCGCTGCCAATGGGTCAGCCACACAGTTCTACGCAGACCTGGAGAGCTCTCGTCTCGTACAGAGCCAACAGCAGGACAAGCCACAACAATCGACTGTAATTGTGCTGGGGCTCACAGCCACAATATCCAAGGTACTCTACGGGATATGCCGAGCTAATCCCACGCCACACTTACTGATTGGCAGTGATTGCAGACGCTCGACAGCATTCACCCGTGCTTATTACACAAGTGCACTGTGCAGCAGCGCCCGTTCGCCTCTATCCTCTATCCTTTCCTTTATCCTTTCCCTGGCCCCCTCAGCTCTCTTTTCTTACCTTTGTCGACGGTCTCAAGTATGGGTAATGATGGTGGCAGTATCCCGGACAGGCGCGACCTTGTCCGCACCAAAGCAAAGGTCTGTCTTGCACTCTTCATTTCCCATCCGAATTCCTCCCTAATGTGACAATTTAGGCTGAACAAGCGGACAAAGCGAACCAAACCCGCGCCCGCTGGTTCTTCTGCGCGCTCTCCAAGCGGCGCCTCGAAGAACCCATCGTCGCCTGCCCTCTAGGCCGGCTCTTCAACAAAGACGCTCTGCTCGAGTTCCTGCTCGACCGCGCAAGCTACGGGGCAGACGGCGCTGCGGTTGCGGGGCACATCCGCTCGCTCAAGGACGTCAAGGAGCTTAAGCTGACCGCGAACCCAGCGACGAAGGGCAAGGGCAAGGGGAGGGGAGAGGGCGAGAACGAGGAGACGCCGAAGTTCGTGTGCCCGCTCACGTTCAAGGAGATGAACGGCGCGCAGCCTTTCGCGTACCTCGCGCCCTGCGGCTGCGTCTTCTCCCTTTCGGGGCTCAAGTCCCTCTCATCTGCGAAGGAGAAGGAGCCAGGGAAAGAGGGCAGCACCACCCCAGAGAAGGACGAAGAGCAGCTCGAGCTCTGCCCGCAGTGCGGCGCCAAGTACTCCAAGTCCACCGACATCATCCCGCTCAACCCCTCGCCGGACGACGAGTCCCTTCTCCGCGCGCGCATGGAGGCCAAGCGCGCCGCCGAGCCCAAGAAGTCCAAGAAGCGCAAGGCTGCCGATCCCGAATCCTCTGACCCGCCAAAGAAGAAGAAATCATCGCCCACGGCAGCGCCGACTGTCAACCCCAACATCGCAGCGACGAGCCGCGCGGTGGTGACCAGCCTCGCGCTCGAGGAGGCTAAGCGCAAGGCGGGCATGAGCGACGCCGTCAAGTCGCTCTACGGCGATCCGTCGAAGCCGAAGCAGAAGGAGACGTTCACGACCATGGGCACGTTCACGCGGTACGCTTGATCTTGCTTCCAAGGCGTATGTAGTGCGATGAGTGGCCTTGCTGTACTTTTACCGCTGTATTACATTATGTGTATATTACATCCACATCTGCGTCATAGCCCAGCATCTCCTCTACACGTCGACAATCTCTCCCATCTTCTGCCCCACCTTCACCTTCTCCCCCTCGGCAACCGTAAACCGAAACGTCTTGGGCGCCTCGAACACGAGCACAATCGTGCTCCCGAGGCAAAACCCGCCCATCTCCTCCGCAGGCCGCAGCGGCTGCCCGTTCAGTATCGGAGAGGCAGCCGAGTAGACAGCCTCGGTGTACGTGCCTGGAGGCGGGCGAATGCGCGTGCGGACATTCGTGCGCAGGGCCTGTGCTTGGCGTGAATGGCATGCAACAGGAGCGAACGGTCACGAAATGCTTACCGTATCGAAGTTGATTTTGATGCTCCCGACATTCGTTGCGCCTACGGGGACCATACTGAAGAACCCATACCTCCACCGCCCGAGCAGCGCCACCCGCTCATTCAGCACAAACAGATTCTCCAGCCGCTTCGCCATATACGGCGACACGCTGTACAACTCCCCGACAAAATGTCTCCGCTTCTCGACGACCCACGCCGTGGGCGAGTGGAAGCGGTGGTAGTCCCCGGGCGCAAGATAGATGACAGCGAAGAACAGGCCGTTGCCAGGCTTCACAGACGCGCCCGAGATGCTGCCCCGGCGCTGCAGAGAGGGGCGCACCCCCATCTCAGCTGCGACAGACGTGTCGTGCTGGATCGTGTCGCCGAGCGATTGCTCAGACTCTACTGACGCGTCAATCTGCTCACCGTGCTTGTGCGGGGGCGGGGGCTGATTCTGATGGCTCGCCCCGTCCTTCCCCGCATCACGGGGAGAAGAAGACGATGAACCGAGCAGGTGACCGAGGCTGTACTCGATTCCGTTGACATTGGCAAATTCCTCATCGTGCACAACGGCCATGTCGCGCTGCGGCGCTTCGATGGGCGACGGTGGCGGGGTTGATAAGGACTCGACGCCGAGCAGGGCGTCCAGGGAGTAAGTGAGGCCCTTCACTTGCTCAACGCGCGAGCCTTGTATCGTGCCGAAATGCAAAACGCGTCCGTCCGCGGGGCTCACCTACGGAAGTTTGAGTGTGAAGAAGAGTGAAGGGAATGAAACGTACAAGTGGAGCATTCGCTACGGGTCGCGCACCAGGCTTGAGCTTGCGATAGAAAAACTCGCCGAGAGAGGCATACTGCGTAAGGTCGTCAGGGTCGATCTCATTCAGGTTGCAACCGAAGACCCAAGCGTAGAGGCGAAAGCCGAAGGGACGGAACCATACGGGGAGCTCTAGCGAGTTGAGGTATCCCCACAAGCGAGAGAGATTCTTCAGCGGGAGGGCACCGATGACATGGACCTACCAGAACCAGGATGAGGATTTATACAAAGTAGCAAGACTGCGCAACACACCTGCCAAGGCCCTTTAAGCTTGACAATCTCATTCCCATGCTCATCGACATGGACTTCCTTCCCTAGGTGGTTTTTGCGATAGTCAACGGCTACCAGAAGCAGCGCACCGACGGCTAGGGGAAGCGGGTACCATTTCGTTGGTGTATCCCTCCAAGCGGCGGAGAGTCTTTCTGGCAAGCGTCCATTTAGCTCTTCGCTGACAAACATAAATCTTGAGGGCACTAACGATATAATGGACGACTTCTATCCTTCGCACTCTCTGCCCCAGGGCCTGTAGTGTACGACCGTCGGGGAAACTGGTAACTTGTTTTTATCTCAGGTGATGATTTTGCTGGCAGAGGTATACGTGCTGCCCTGAGGCACACTGTCTCCCTATATCGTAGAATCGTAGCCATTCTTAGAGAATAGCCATGCAGACACGCTGGGCGGAGTGAAAACGAGCCCTGGTCAGAACTAAAGTCCGGCGGTTCGTCACACCGTGCCGACGGGGTACGTACCCCTAACCCAGCTGCGTTTTTGCATCTAATCTTATCGGATCCAAACGTCGCGTACCTTCAGGATCTACAGCCTATTTCCAGATCTGGGGTTTATTTATCCCTATTGTTTGATGTTGCGACTAATGTAGCGGTCCAAATAGTGTCGCAGAGATAAATCTTGTCTCAATCATATCTAGGTAACATGGGCTATCCATTGCTGCACAAAAATATTCTTCACCACTGGCTCTGGGACAGCTTTTCGCATTTTTCCACCCTATTACTACACCATATTGCTTGCCATTGGGGGATTGTACTCAGCCCATATAAGGCTACATGTATGCATAAGACTCCAAGAGAATCTGAGCAACAGGTGGCTAAGTACCACTTTGGGTAGTACTCCTCCTATGGACCCCCATGGCTACCACTTGTGTTACTATGGGTTATAACACACTTCCCTTAGTGTATATTAGCATGTCCCACCATGTGCATCAATATTGGGCCTACCCAGACCACCCCTTGGTGACTTAGCACCAGTTCTCCACCTATATCACACCACCCTGGGACAGCCAATGCACCTACAGCTGTGGAAACACTTCTAAACACACTATGGTGCTCAGCACTTAGTCACCACTACATTTGTAAAACAGTTATGCAAGGTCCAAATTTCCATGGTTTTCTTATCCCTCTGGTGAAAATGCTCCGATTGATGAGAGGATCATTTCCATGAGACCGATTTTTGAAATACCAAAAATTGAATGAGATATAAATCTGACCTAAACAAAATTGGCCATACAGGTGCGTACTTACTGTAGATGGACGTATATGCAACCATATATGGTATGCTTATAAATACAACTCAAACCTTATGTCAGTATAATGTTTTGTTTTCCCCTCAGTATGATGGTTTTAAGCATTTTCCGAGCAACAGGACCCTTTCAGGAGCTATCCAAGCTGCAAAATCTACCTTTTGAATTTTGAATATTTCTCGGGGCCAAATTGGCCAATGTACAAAGTTGGCGGTGACTAAGTGCCGAGCACCATATCAACAATGCTCCATGCATGATGCATCATCTACCTGTCAGCCCACCCATGGTTTGGTCCACTCAGCCTATTAAACCACTACTCAGTGCCTTTTCGGACCACTAACTGATGCTCAACCCCAGTACAGTGTCGGTCCCTAAGGATTGGCACCTCCATAGTGCCTTAATTAAGGTGCCGCAGACCTTCAGAAAAACATTTGAAACATAAACCTGGCCAAAAGATGTGTAATCCTGCAATTTTGATTTTTTGATCGATTATGTAAGCATTCACTTTTAGAAATTTCAATACCACGGATTTCGCTGAGGGAATGATCCTGGAGTTGAATGATGTAGGTGAGGTATGCTCACTCAGAGAGGTCCCATTGCCCCTTCAAGGTGACCTTACTCCAAGAATAGTGCTGTATGAGGGCATATCATATGGTTCTAGATCTCCATAAGTCAGCTCATCATGCCCTCAAGCTTACCTGACACTCTCAGTATCAAGAACTGTGTAACCAGAACGGGACCTGACATAGGGGTAGTAATTGGATAATTCTAATCAACAACCCCCCTGGGAGCAGTAACCCCTCAGCAACCCATGCCATTATCCAGCAACCCTAGTTGTCCATCAGCAGTCACATGTGACATCTTACTCTATCAGTCTGCATTGCATCGGTTTACTTGGACTTCACTCTATGTACATAGCTACAAAAATATTAGGCTGACGCTCTCCCAGTCAAGGCTACTAACGTTGGGTGAGGGTGCCACCGCAGTATTCAAAATGGGGGTTGCTCAGGTGTGGTGCTTGGACGGTCCACACCGCGACCCGTGGCACCGGGTATACGGGTTTATATTTCTCGCAGATGGGTCACAGTTTTCACCTAGAATGGTGATCTTTGTGATGAAGAGTTATGGAGGCAGCAGCACGCACAGTGCGCCCTGCACAACTCACCTGTATTGGTTGGATGCTGTAGCTACTGGTAAAGCTCGTATAAACGACCCTTTTTTCATTAGGCAGCAGAGCTGCAGGGTTTATATACACTGTGGCCCATAGGCTGACTAAGCTACGTGGAGTATCCCTAATCCTACTGAACTCCACTTATGATGTCACTGACCCACATGAGCCCCATGCCTTGTACAATAATGGAATATACCAGAATGTTCCAGAGAGTTCCGGTACGTTCTGGTACGTTGTAGAACCTGGCAGCTAAGTCAGTGCCTACTTCAACACTTTGGACTTACAAAGTTCTGTGGCTGGTACTGGCTGGCACTGATTCTAGTTATTTTAGCATGTCTACAGTCATGTTACCAGCCGAATACGTGTGAGGTACCAGTACTAGGAACTCGTCTACCGATAGGGCAGTGACAGAAGTGACAAAAACATATTATCTACAGTAAATCAGTTCTTTGGGGGGTTGATGATTTGTAAGCAAACAACCCGGGGTTGTTGCTTCCAGGGGGGTTGTTAATTAGAATTATCCATAGTAATTATGCTTATATTTGACAGTAGTTCGGTCTTTTGCTTAGTAATAAGTTTACAGAATCTTAGATAATCGCATTCTATTGGCTAATGCATTTACATTTGCCTCATTTGGGGAACACACTTCGCCCCGACGTCCTGGCCGAGGGTGGCGGCGCGCAGTGCCGCCACCCGAGAGTCTGCTTTGACCTCCAAGATAAAGATAAATTCAAATTCTGAATACTATTTACACCTCCCAGAAGTGGCTACGGATGCCGCAGCTAGTGGGTTAACTGCATTAGGGTTAGGGTGTATTACTAATCACAAGTTCACAACCATCAGCATGTGGCCATATATGGTAACTCGTGCGCAACTCCGCTTCAAATTCACTTTTCAGGTATGTCAATAGTCTCGTACCCATCCGTTCTGGAGAGGACGCGGACTGATCCGGTCGGACTTTCAAAAAGTTGTGCAAGGTCCTCTCCAGAACGTCTGGTGCACTTCGTTCGAGCACTATTATTGACGTCATAGTGTCACGTATGTCACGGCCCCGTGATCTGACGCGTTCTAATTTTATTCGCTATCGTCCTTGACATTGCTAACTAAATCGCCAGACAATTGATCGATTTCAATGTCGATGACCGATTTGATGCATTCAGCCGCGAAATGCTCCATTACCGCCCGAGCAGCCATTGGCCTCCGATTAGGCTCGTGACCACCCTGTCGTACCGCTATTGAGGGCAGAATATCGGTAGACATAGATTCTGCCTCAATCTGTTGTAGAGGGTGGTTACGAGCCTGGCCTCCGATTGATAGAGCCAACTGTTCTCGGCGCCTTCCACCAGCTATGGACTATCGCAGGAAGCTCTGCGCTGCGCATGAGCCTCATGCGATGATAGGACACTTGCATGTCCGATGTACACCCTGGATCACCCCAGCTGACGGCTCGCAGAAATTCTGCTAGGTCCAAGTTCAACTCGGACATTAAAGTGAGGATCTTCTTAACCTTCATGGTCAATGTCCCAGCCTCATTTGTTTGATTGAGGTCGTATTCAGCCTCTTCTTCGCTATCTGAGCTTGCCCGGGCCCCTTCCGCAATGTCTGGTTTGTCGTCCGTGTCAGGCTCACTGTAGTACTCTTCATTATTGTATAGAAAGTGAAACTCCCTCCTTGGTGAAGAAAATGTTTGCTCGCTCGCCATGTTGATTTAAGATTTGCTGAGTGGTATATTGAATGCACGAAGACGCGGTACACGAGACAAAAATAGCATCTTCAAACTAACGTTTTGGGCGGGAAAGATGGCAAATCCCGACGGCCCGCTGTCACGCTATGACGTCAATAAAAGTGCTCGAACGAAGTGCACCAGACGTTCTGGAGAGGACCTTGCACAACTTTTTGAAAGTCCGACCGGATCAGTCCGCGTCCTCTCCAGAACGGATGGGTACGAGACTAGTATGTCAAAAGTTTTAATATTGGAATTCCGAGAAAGTAATCAGATAGCCTGAAAGCTATGGGCAATCCGAGCCGACTGGCGCTATTTTCGGATGCATTGGAGTCTTTGCCGGGGACGAGATACCATCACGCGTTCGGCTATGCCCGAGGCGTCGGTTTTGAGCGACCGACACCAAGAGGGGTGCAAGATCCAAATCGGGAACACGGACCTACCTTTGCACTGGGTCATTATTGATGTTCGGGGTCCTAGTACGCACTCTTTGCTCAGTTTCCCGTTAATCCTTGCACAGTCGCCGAATCAAGTCCCATATTGCTCTAATAAACGCTTGCACGCATGTAGTACGATATAAGCAATTTTATCATTTAGTCTATGTCACGATTTAATGCCTTCTGAATATCTGCTAGTACGCGCCGTCTGGGACGAATGTCAGACCTCGTGCTTGCCAGAAAGTCACGTGACACTGCGGCAAAGATGGGTCTCTAATTTTATTGTCGCTGTCCAAATGAGGTCCGATTGCGCTTCTGCCGCTGTCCGGCTCGTCCGTACACGGAAGGGGGACTCCCCCCTACCCCCTTTCCGGGGGTCCTGGAAAGTTGGAGGTCGGTGTCCAAAATTCTGGTTTTGCACCCCTCTTGACCGACACTGTAGACGACCACCATCAAAATTGACGAGCAAGCCGGCATCTCGGCTGAT